CATGTTTTGAATCCCCGATGCTGGGCGTCGATCGTCGGTGTGCTGGGAACTTGTATCGTTCGATGCTTTGGCTCCGCGGAGACGGAGACGGAGACGGGGGCCGAGAGCCGGTGCCGGTGCCAGTGGGAGTTGATTGATGGTTGAAGCAATTCTAACGTATCCGTTTACGCGGGTTTACTTTATATGAAGGATGAGTTTGGCGTTCTTGGAGAGTATGAGTTGTGGTAGGGGAATGGATGCTATGAGTTATTTCGGATGGAACGGAGATTGTGTGATGCAGAAGGGAGCTTTGCTTCGATAGTTTTGAGCTTTCCCAACATGAGGATGCGCTATTCTTTGAGCCAACTAACATGAAGGTTGCGCTCTTATTGTGATTCTTCCGTTGTTTGAGATGTTTGTAAGTGATGTTGATCGTGATGATAATTGCTTATAAGTCGAGAAGCAGAAAGAGTACATCAGCAGAGAGTGCTCTTTGAACAGATCATTGTAGTCACGGAGAAAGAAGAGGCCAATCACTCTTGAGTTTTTCTTTTTCTCTCTCTCTTTTATTATGATTCATATCTTGATTTAACGTCGTGTTTACGTGAAAGCGGTGGTTGGCATGCCGTCCTCTTCAACTTAACCTGTTTGCCCAACAAACACCAGCCATGAAACTACCATCTACCAGCCTAATTTCTACCAGAACACCACTTCTAAGCTAATACGTTTTTCTTTTCCTTTTTTTTTTTTTTTTTTTTTTAAGTTCACATTGAATAGCAACTCAATAAGGTAGTATACTCAAGACACAGCCATCTTCAAAAACGGCGCCAAGAGTTCTCGACGTCAAGTCCATCTCATTCGCGTCATCGTGGAGAGCTCTCTTACCCTATGCCTGCCGAGCTTACACCAAAAAAGCACATTTCTTGATCTCTACAGCTTTTCTCTCCGAATAATCTTCCGTCTCTGTGAAACAGTTTTCTTTCATCTACCCAAATCCGAGAAGAAAAAAAAAAAGGGTAAGAAACGTGCTGCTGGTCAGATAGGTTATTCCCTGGGGGGCAGTCCCAGGTGGTCCAGAAAATACCTAATGTAAGACCAACAAGGCGCGCAAGTACTCTCGGAAGCACATGCTTGAAAACCGCCGATGGATTTCCCGCGGATTTTCCTAACATCTTATGTGCTTTCCCACTATGCGCAAACGGATCCTAGCGACATAATCAACTAACACGAGGAAGACTATCTTTGCGTATTCAGTCATACCTCGCCTATCCATTGCCATCTTCCGACCAAACCGCTCTGTCGACTTTGCTTGAGCGTAATTTTTATTACTCGTGCGCTTATATCAAGGCAAACCGGAGTTGGGGGCTCCACGATCCATCTCCGTAGCCCCCGCAAAACGGCCGAACAAACGAACGGGCTCTCCCAGAAGGATCACGCCAAAGAGGATCGCCACTCTATGTAACCCATCGCGTGTTCATCCGGTTTTGTCTGCGATGCACCTTTATTCCTTCAAAGCTCTTGGCCGTCACATGTTTTGCGCCTTTTATTCCTCGCTATATACATCTTTTCCTTTGACTCTCAACAAGCGCTTCATAACGGTCTGACTGTCTTCAAATACCATCTCGACTCGTCATCTGTCTCGGCGCATCGCAATCATCTGCATTTGGAGCTCCGGAGCTGCATACGTCATAGAGCGCAGCGCAAAAGAACCCCTGATTTCTCTCCGAAAACCACTGCGGGGTACAGCTTCGCATACCAAACCTCGCATCGCGGGGTCTTCACTTCTCTTCCTCTCTATACAAACCTCCGTCAAAAGGATCCAACAGGGAGGACTCCCAACTCGCACACAGCATCGCCACCATGTCCGGCCCCGTCCCAACCGCATCCTCCCTGGCGGACATCTACCCCCCGTCCGCCCTCGCAGCAGAGGCCCCGAGATGGAACGCCCTGCTGGCCAAGTTCGAGCGTGAGTTTGGCCACCCGGCGCGCTTCATCTCGCGGTCCCCCGGCCGCGTCAACATCATCGGCGAGCACATCGACTACTCGCTCTACTCGGTCCTGCCAATGGCCATCACCGCCGACGCCATCATCGCCGTCTCGACCAAGCCCGCCGCCCCGGACGCCACCTCCTTCACCATCCGCGTGCGCAACGTCCAGGACGCAAAGTTCGCCCCCGCCGACTTCGACGTCCCCTTCGGCGGCGACGTCGAAATCGACTCCACAAAGTTCGAGTGGACAAACTACTTCAAGAGCGGCCTCCGCGGCGCCCTGGGCCTCCTCTACCAGAAAAAGGGCGCCGACTTCCGGCCCTGCGACATGGAGGTGCTCATGGACGGCAACGTCCCCGTCGGCGGCGGCCTGAGCTCCAGCGCCGCCTTTGTCACCGCCAGCGCCCTGGCCGTTATGACCGCCAACGGCGAGACCACCGTCGACAAGAAGGAGCTGACCGAGCTCGCCATCGTCAGCGAGCGCGCGGTTGGCGTCAACTCCGGAGGGTACGTTCTTGGTGATCGCTTCTTGGCCCCCGTTTTGCCCCGTTCTCTGCTTTGCCTCTCCTGGCTCCCGCGTAAAATCTGCACCAGCATCCCTCATGATCTTCCTCGCAGCAGGTGGATACACGTATCTGCTCTGCTGCTGCTCCACGGAGTAACATCTCCTGTACGCACTCATGTACGCTTGTCCTGCAGCAAGCAAGCACTCAGACATCGACGAACCCACACCTCGCACGCCCCCTTTCCCCCCTCCATACCCCCCTCCCCATAAACCTGGAACCAGCAGCACACTACCATCGCACCATCAGATCCCCCCTCGCCGTATACAACGCGTGTATAGTACGATGCTGACAATCACCGCCACAGCATGGACCAGGCTGCTTCCGTCTTCTCGGAGCAAGGATCCGCCACATTCGTGTCCTTCACCCCCAGCCTATCTGCCCGCCCCGTCAAGTTTCCCCCAACACGGCCTGAGCTTTGCTTTGTGATCGCGCAATCATTCGTCACCTCCAACAAGCATGTCACTGGACCCATCCACTACAACCTCCGTGTCGTAGAGGTCAGTTTTGCGGCTGCTTACCTCAATGCCGTGCTCAACCCACCCGGCACGGAGCTGCCACAGGACGCAGGGCCCCTCGGCATTAGTCTCCAGGGGTTCCACGAAGCCTTCTTCTACCACAACGGCGGGTCAGACTACGCCGCCGCCAAGAGCCTTACCAAGGACGAGGAGCTGCGCCGGCTGATAGACATCACCAAGGAGACGCTGACCCGGGAGGACGGCTACACGCGGGAGGAAATCGCCTCCGTCCTCCAGATGTCCGTGCCGGAGCTAGAGAAGCGCTTCATGTCCAGATTCCCCGTCCGCGCCGACCGTTTCAAGCTGAGGCAGCGAGCCCTGCACGTCTTCACCGAGGCGCTGCGAGTCGTCCAGTTCCTAGCCTTGCTCGAGGGCCCCCTCCACACGGGAAGGACAGACACGACTCAGTTCAACGAGGAACTTGGCAGGCTCATGAACGAGACCCAGGACTCCTGCAGGGACTTGTACGAATGCAGCTGTCCCGAGCTAGACGAGATATGTCGAATCTCACGTGGCGCAGGGGCGTATAGCAGCAGGCTGACGGGAGCCGGGTGGGGAGGATGCAGCGTCCACCTCGTGCCGGCCGACAAGGTGCAGGCCGTCAAGGAGGCGCTGGAGCAGCAGTACTATTCCAAGCTGGACCTGACCGACGAGCAGAGGGAGCAGGCCGTGGTGGTGAGCCGGCCCGCTCGAGGCAGTGCCGTCTATATAGTCGAGGGAGGCCAACTGAGTTGAAGAAGGAGATAGGGAGAAAAAGAGTGGGCAACGAGAAAAAGTAATGTGACGAGTCCGTCATGCGAGGCTGGACCCAATTGTTTTCCTTGATCTCTCCCATGTAAACCTCTGGATAGACAATGATCCGTTTTGTCCTTCTATCCTGGGAAAGAAGAATCTGACAAAGAAGCAGTCAATTTGGAATACAACCCTGGGAATCCACGTATCTGTATCGAACGTCCCACTTACACGTACACGTACATCTTTGTGTAACGAGGCCGCGCTTGATACCTTGCTTATGCTGGATCCAGCGAGCAGCCCCCCCCTGAGCATGACACGACGTCGAGTTCGTCGATTGTGATAATGAACGATGTGTGTAACCTAGGATCCCTGGTGAGCTGACAGCACAATGCGATAGCCGTGCTGCTGGAACGCGGCAAAAAGGGGCAAAGGAGCAACTCACCAAAAGGTCCCCTTGAACACGACCCAATGTCTTCTCGTGTCCTATCACATATACGATAAAGAAGCACAAAGTTAATTCAAGCCACGGGCAAACGAGTATCATCCGTCTCACTCGCTTCAACACGGCCCGCAACCAACTCCTTCCGGGAGTCGCTTCGTGTCGAAAAAATAACGAAGATGAACGCCAACTCGTTTCACTAGCATGGGCTTGCCCTGGCCGAATAGGAAAAGAAAACGGTCTTCTGATACTCTCACCTTTCTTACACACCCTCCCCCCTCCCCCTGGCCCCTTGTCTGCCGCCACACCCAAGCCTCGAAAACCGGGACTGGTGAGCACTGGAAAGGGGAAAGCAACGATTGGTCGCCTGACATGCTCACCCCCCACAGAAGAAGTCAATCTTGTAGCCAAGACCTTCGAGAGCATGGCAACAAGGGAAGCAGAGAAAAAGAATGTGTCAGAGAAAAGGGAAGACAAAAACTGTCGGTAGCCAATGAGAGTCGCATAACGGAGGAGCTTACTGCCGTTTCCGTCTCCCCTCTGGCATCTTTTGCGATGAAAAGGCCGGTGGCACCTCTTGATGGGCAAAGTTGTAGATTACAACTGCCGAAATGGGCGCAAGCGTGCCAGCAAGACCACGCTGCGTAAGTGAGAAGACGCTGAGGGACGCGCCCATATACAAACGATAGACAAATAATAAAAAGCGGTTAGTATATAGTGATGCTTCGACTAGGGCATTAGAGCTTGCAAGGCGGAGACACTTTTAGGTTCCTATCGTGTGGTTTGGTCTGTTTCCCTCTTCCTTGCAATCTGTGCCCTCTTGTCAGCTTTATGGATGCTCAGACGGATCGTATGATTCACACATGAAAAAATATCACAGATAGTGAGCATCTCAGGCACTGACTTTTCACTGAAACAGGTAATAAACGGCGTCTTCCGAGAGAAGACCGATACCCGCGAGGAAATCAACTGCCGATGCCACTGGCTGGCTGCCCATTGGAGGAAATATTCTGCTTCGGATATGCAGTCTATCCGAGTTTCAATATGGAGCCGCCCGGTAAGTCAAGTCTCCCAAGAAATTTGAGGGTTTTCCAGATAGAATCGTCAACAAAGGGCCGGATGGCTGTCGGCAACATGGCACGTTGACAAGCAACAGGGGGCCGGGAATAGCGCGGTGTCTCCAGCGCCGAAAAGGTGGGGATGACAAGGAAGAGAAACGACCGTTGCTACTCTGTAGCTGCTTCGTAGAACTCCTGGATATCAGGGATACTCCGTATGACGCATGGTTCTCGGATATGGGCCGGAGATCAAAAGAACCTACTGTTACACAAAGACGCGGCAATAAACGATATGTAGGCAACGGCGAGGTCACTATTGTCCGGCCAGTATCTTGTTTGAGAGGGGGGTGCCTCTTCGACCAACGGTATTTTCTGCCTGACTGTCTTTCCCATTTCGACTAATGGCCGTTTAGGCTAACCACCTGAGAAAACCTGTAAGGCTTAGCAGGCCCATAAAGGAATCAGAACTTCCGTCTCTGGACCCAGCGGGCTTGCCGCTTGTTTAGCGGACCTCACGGTCGGTAATGCGGAGGATGTACAAGTAGTACTACCAGGACAATCCTCAGCCTAGAGGAAAAAGTAAGGAGAACAAAGTAATATGGAGAAAGGAGTAATCACTAACAGAGGTGCCTCCTCTTCCTGTTTGGCCTCTCGTTGGCTAGCTGGATCAGGTCAGTCATGTTGCTATCAAAGTCGGGCATCCGGTAACCATTCACTGAGACATGACCATCAGCGCAGAGGCACACAGCCGTGTATTGCTGCCGCCCTTTGGACACGAGGCTCCCCTCCGTCAAGGAGCTAGCCACACGAGTTGTGATGCTTCAACTGCCGGCAGAAGCCGCAGCAGCGCCTCGGCGTGTCGTTGCTCATCAGATACTGCACACTGCGGCATCTGTGCCACATGTTCAACCGCCGAGGAGCGCCGAGTGCCGGAGGTGGTTTCCTGATTTGCCCGTCGTGGGTCTGGAGCGGCATGACACAGGCGCACAACGCGGGCCCATCTGCAGACTCGACGCCTTCTCTTGTTCGGAAAACGGCAGTCATCACATTAATACCAAGACACCGTGGGGCGTGCTGGCCGTGACGGTTTGTTCTCCAGACCGAGGCTTGTTCTTGTCTAGCACTCCGTTCTCCGTTCTCCGTTTCTCCTTTCTCCGGGCTCCGTTCTCCGTCCCGTCCTAAACGTTTTGGGGCAGCAAGTCCAAATAGCCTAAGCAGAACACCACGCTCGCTCATATGGTTTCACTCGTTGTCGGCTCACCCGTGGCCGACGGTAGCGGGAAAGCGGCTTTGCATCCATGTTGGACAGTCTCCTTTCATCTCGGACGTGGGTTGGCCTGTTGTCTCTCGTGTTATTGGTCCGTCTAGTTCTCAATCAGAAGGGGGGCGTATTCCAGATCTGTATATGCCTCCGGGAACCAGACAAGCTGTCCCTGTCATCCACTAGCTGTGGCGGTACAAAGTACCAGTCATCGTCACTTGAGAATATCATGTCCCGGGGGGTACGAAGTATGTCATTGTGTACCAGACGAGTTTCTGGTTTTCCTTCGGGCCAGCAGAAGCCCTCGTCTGCCATAGTATCACGCTGCCAGGATCGTTCATTTCTTTCTCATCTCGTTCGTCTGCGCGACTGTACGTTTGAGTTAGTATGCACACGTAATTGGGGCTCCATAGCTTGATGATAATCAGGAGTGTTGTCCAAACATCTGATCACCATTTCAACTGATACATCTACGCTGAAGAGTTTGAAGGTAGCAGTCTGTTCCTCTTGATCGATGAGGATCGATAGACTGTGGACTAGCTCTCATCCCGGGTGCCATCCAACCCCGGAGTACTCATACCCCCTTTCCCAAAAATAGAATCAACCAGAGAGACGTACATGAATGAAGTAGTAGTATTTGGTACGGTAGGCGCATGCGCCCTCCCGGTAAGGCTATCAGAATCCGGGCGCCGTTCACGGAACGGAGAAATTCTCAGACCAGAGTGACCGGCTAACGTTATCGCAAGGATCGTGAGAGCGCCAAGTGGACAGCAGCTGCATCATCGTATGTGCACTCCAAGGGTTCCTGAGAGGTGGATGCAGCACGGATATCGGTTGTAGTGCCAGCTTGTCGTGCAATAAGTCAATGTCTGCATGGACGGGCAGCAAGCTATCATTCGAAATGCTCCCTTTGATATGAGACGTACCTATTGGTCTTGAAGCAGCGAACCATTCAATCAACTCTGCAGTACATCGGGTCCAAGTTAGTCCAAGTCATCTTTGGCAAGTGGAAGTATCACAACCACCTTCGTCCGGTATGTACCCTGTATTATGAGCAAGTTGCCAAAGCAGCTAATGCTGTACGTAAGACTCGCGAAGTTGGCTAGCATCTGCCACGTTGTGGTAAAGTGGGCTAATTATGCTCCTCTCGTCTTCTGTGAGCTTTCGATCCCATGGGACGGACCAAAAGACATCCGGAGCGGACCCTTGTTGGCTGTGGATAAACGGTGATTTCGCTCGCCTGGGTGGTGGTCCTCTAGCGTCGAAGCGATGATCATCTCGACTCTAGCCTCCAGGCATCTACTCAAGGCCCAGGTTAGTGAAGAACTTGCTTCTGTGGCAAGCGAGCCAGTGGTTGGAGGAGCCATCCTCTGCGCTTGACTGGAGGATTAGAAATGCTTACAACCCCGGAAGCTTTCCGTGCGTATGTAGCACCGTTTCCAGTAGCTGTATCGAAGCAAGTTAGTCGATCGCTACCGGCGCCAGGATCTGATAATCAGAGCGTACTCCGTGGTACAAGTACCTCGTACCTCGGTAGTGTTGGCAGCTGAGGCATAGTTTGGGCCCGTAGTGTTGCGAAGCCGCCGAGTGGTGCCGGATGTATCAACGCAAAAGGCCAAGCTTCTGGACGGACGGCTTGTTCTGCGGGTAGCATCCAGGTACTCGTACTATTCCTCGTAGTATGTGCGTGCTTATGTGCATGCTAGTGAACAAATGCCACTTGTTCGTGTCGGATCAGGTCGTATATTACTGCAGATATGGATGAAGTCGTTCGCACGCCCGTACTGCGTACTTGCACAGAAGACGGGTCGGTACTACAGCCTCGCGCTTTTGCGGAGGTGGCATTCGTGGCTCATTTGCGTTGCGCAGAACAAGACAGGCATTGCCAAGTGGTGACCAAAGCTCCGCCCTATGGGTGGACCTGCTGCCACATGAAGGATGCTGAGGATGGATATTGCGGCCTTAAGCGATCTGACTGGGCTTGGACCCCTGCCAGCTTTGCGTTTGTCCCTATTTGCCAGTCAGTCTGGGGCACTCCTCCAAGAACAAGATCAGTGCTGCTGCAACGGTGCTAGTGGTAGCACAAGCAGCACTCGGTGGTGAAGCAGATCAACCCACCAGGATGGGTCCAGCTTATCCCGGTGTTCAGATGATTATGCGCTAAAAAGTATAATGGCAGCTGTGATCTCATCCGGGCAGTGGGAGGTCTGCCAGAATCCTTTGACGCCGCGCAAGTGTAACC